TATTATAGACCACCATAACCACCAAGGACAACCCATACTAGAATACCTCACAAGAAACCTCATAAGAGTAATATATAAGTCTCTAAGAGGAGGACACCCTAGCGTCACCAAAACAATAAATAAGATACTAAATAACTATACTATCAAAAACCTTAGAAAACTAGTATAAGAGGAAGTTACTAGGTATAACTTATATACTAAGAATAAAGCAAATAGATATAAACTATACAGACTCCTATAACCTATACTAGTACCTAAAATACTATAGTAAAATATAACTATAGACTTTATAGTTAAGTTACCTAAGTTAGAAGATCTAGTTATAAGATAAAGGTATGATAGTATTATAGTAGTTATAGATAGGTTAATAAGGTATATATATTTTATACCTTATAGAGAAATAATAAACATACTAAAGTTTACTAACCTATTCCTATAAATAGTACTAGCTAACCATAACCTACTAAAAGAAATCAATATAGATAGAGGAGGTATATTTATCTCTAAGTTTTAGCAGAGTCTTATAGACCTACTAGGGATATACTATAAGTTATCAATAACATATTACCTAGAAATATAAAGAATAGTAGAATAAGTTAACTAAACTATAGAAACCTACCTATAATACTATATTAACTAGGACTAGGATAACTAGGTAAAGTATCTACTACTAGTATAGTATATATATAACATAAATAAATATAAAAGTATAAGAATATCACTATTCTATATAAACTATAGAATTAAACTAGAACTAGGGTTCAAACTATAAGGATAATATTTAGTAGCTAAATAAGTAATCATAATAGCAGAATAAATAAAGAAACTATACTAATAACTTATAATAGAACTTAAGTTTATATAAGAAAGGATAATAAGCTATATAAATTAAAAGAGGATTAAGGGACTAACCTTCTAGGAGGGGAGTAAGGTCTACCTACTCTAGAAGAAAGTAGGAAAAAGGGATCCCTAAATCACTATAAAAAGACTAAGTAATAAACTTGATTATAAGAAACTAGGACTATTTATTATCAAATAAAAAGTTTTAGAAGTTAACTATAAATTAGAGTTACTAACTATAATAGGACTTAAATACCCTATCTTTTATATATCACTATTAGAACTAGTATATAACAATATACCTATAGAAGAGTTAATCATAGTTAAACTAGTAGAAGACAAATAGGAAGTAGAAAAATCCTTAACTCTAGCTATAATAATAATAGAAAAATCAAATACCTAGTAAAATAGAAAAACTTCAAATATAGTAAAAATATATAGGAACTTATTAAACACCTTAAAGGGAGCTAGAGCCTTCTAGCTCAGTTCTACTAGAAGCACCTATAGAAACCCTAGGATCTACAGGCATATTAAAGTCAAAACCAGTAGTATCCTAGTTAATCACCCTAATAGCCCCTAAGGACTAAACCTGCCTAACTACCTACTAGGTCTCTACCACTAGAGAGTCCTCTTCCCCCTCCTTAGCTAGGCTAGCTACGCTACGATAGAAGAGCATATCCCCACACTCCCTAAGCAGTTTCTATTAACAATAGAGATAAGTAATCTAAGCTATTAACTCTAAAAGTTACTCCTCTAACTTCTTAAGCACCTTATCTACCTTTTAGGTTTCCATCATAGTATAAGAAACTAGGAGAAAATAGTCACCATTAGTTAGAAAGTACCTAGGAAGGGTACATAGAAGAACTAGGAGGAAGCTTATAAGAGGAGGTAACTAAAAAGCTATCATAGGACCTCTTCCCCTTCAAATAAGCTAGACACTAGGAAGAGCTAGAGGCTATATAATAGGCCCTCCCTATATTAAAACACCAGGAACAAGGCATATCAAGGTCTTTACTAAAAGAAGAAATATACTGAGTAAGGGCTTTGCCCTCTCGTTTCTTACGAAGGGTGGTAGATGTATGTTTGGAAATATGATCTGTCATGGCATCAGCATCACTACAAGAATATGAGGATGGAAAGAACAGAACCAACTAATAGGAGCAGGGAGCCATAGGTTATAAGGGTCTTTAGGGATAAAGACTAGAAGAGGGGAGGTATTATGTCACGAGCGGCCTGGAAGTAGGCCTGAGAAGGCAGTGAAAACTAGCAGTAAAGGTAGAACCTCAGGTAGTAACCAACCAGTAAGGAAAGGACCATATAAAGAGAAAGCGCAGTCCCGGAAGGACTATATGGGCAGACAGCGCGGTCCTACAAGGACCACACCACGGGAAGTTGCGGTCCACCTAAGGACCATAACCAGGAAGCTACGGTCCCAGACAAGTCACCAACTATATAAGGAAGCAAGTAGACCTTAGAGGAAAGGAGGTTCTATATCCTTTCCAGTAGTCAATTCAAGTACACTTGACCCCTACACTTGAATACACATTACGGATAACGATATTATTGTACTGTTTGATTGCCTCACTAAGCCACTAACAGGCCCGACTGTTCTAACCCTAACGCAACCTAACCCTAAGCAGCACGTCCTAGTGTTGGAACGTCACATCTAGCGAGGATTCAAAACTTATTTTATACCCCTCGGGCTCTTTTAAAAATGGTGACTGGAGAGATTCCTCGGACGAGGTATCGACTGGCGACTGAACCTCATAATCAAGCAACGGGGAGGACCAGGCAAACCCTCATGAGTCGGCGTCAGATGAAAGTATCAGGTGGACTATGTATAAGAAGCGAGCCGACGCCGATCAGTGTTGTCGAGGTGGTTGGCGTCAGCACCGATACACGCAGCCTTCCTTCTTCCCTTCCCTCAACTGGTCTTTCCATCTCTTCAGTAATGGGATGATCCTTGAGATTGGATACCTGGTGGGTTGTCAGAGGGGTTCCTTATTACATTGTGTTGACTAGAGTACCATAGTTAGTAGTGCCCCCGATCAGTTCGACGCTCTCATACCTATTTAGTTCGGAACGGTTCTCCTTCTGGGAACCTTTTCCTTCCCATCTTCCATAACCCATCCACATTCAGATCCTTTTCCCATCATTTTCCTCTCCCACACCTGTCTCCCCATCATCTTCCATGGATCCATGCATTTATAAACTCATGCATTCTTTCTCATTCCACTCATTTCTCCACATACACAAAGGTTCGGCCACCTATCAACCCATGAGTAGGGGACCTGCTACCAAGGCGTGTGTAGAGCCGCGAGAAACCGACAAGCAGTATCTATAAGCCGACGTTACCTAGCCTGCTTGTAAGCCTATAAGGGGTCACCGTTCGTCACCTATCAGGGAACATGTCCACAAGACATCTTAGCCACCCAGAAGTTGGCCAAATAACGTCAGCAAATGGTGAGCCAGCCGCCGCAGCATAGGTATGGGCAGATATCAGCAAATAGACCGGAGTCAGCCCCTATCAGCTTCACACTATAAAGTATAGAAGGGGAACTCTAGTATGGAATAAGGTAGAAGTCCCCTCTGTTCGGCCAACAGAGACTACCAACTAGCAGACAGTATCTAAAGATAAAAAGCCCGACAAGCTTGAGGTGATTCTAACCCAGCCAGGGATCCTAACCTAGCTAGCGACCTCAACACCAGCTAGTGATCCCAGCTTCGTTAGTTGATGCGAACAAGCTAATAAAGCTGATCTTAACAGTGATATATCCTGCCGTCTCTAAGCAAAGCTCTGGTTTCCCTCCTAAGAAGCTACTGGAGAGAGGCTTACGCGGTGCATGAAGAAGAGCCCTGCGCATACGTACTAGACGGATATGTTTAGACCCACGGCAAGAAAATACAGCCATCATTACCTCATTACTGCTTTCCTCAGATTCTCGGTTCTTTCGATACGAACCTTGATTTACACAGCGACATACGCGGTAGGTTTCTCCCGAGTAGATCACATTGACAAGTTACCAAGGAGAAAATATCTTTTTCAGAGCAGATAAGAACCTAGAGGCTAGATGGCTATCGAACGGCAACCGAAAGCAAGGTAAGGGGTCACTGCCTAAAGCCAATATCGCTTCCAGCAACCAGCGAGCACAGCTTCATCTACGAGGAAAGCTGAGGAGACTTCCCCACGTCTGAATAACGGGACGGACCGATCGGCTAAGAAAGCAGATCCTCGGTGGAACAAGGAGCAGCCCCCGTCCCCCAATATCAGCGACGAATCTCTCACTGGAAATCACATTCGATCAGCACCTACACCAGGAAAGTCAGCTAAGAACGGACTCGATGGTCGCCAGAAAGAAAATCAAGCGGGGCGATACGAAACCCCGGCAGTCAAGGAGACCGACCCAAGTGAGCAAAGGCTTCTAGAACGGGGTATGGATCAAAATGACGAGGCCGAGATGCCATACTACACCCCAAAAGGTATGACCTGTAGAGAGTTACTCTCGATAGGCGGTATCTAGCCGTATCAAGATCAGATGTCATAACAGATGATGTGCCACGGTACATTACCATGGCCACTGACAGCCGGCGAAGATGACCGCTTCACGCGGTATGGTTCACGATCTATGCTCGGCTTTCTACTCCGCTCACCTATTACGCTTTCTTTAGCCTGGCCGACCGATCTTTATGAGAAGTCGCAACTTGCCTTCACAACGTATTATAAATGAAGCCCCACAGATAAGCCAGCGGACAGCAAGAAACAGGCCACTTGACACTCTCATATCATCGTGCTAGCTCGTATGATGACGTCCCATGGGTAACTCCTCATCACCAGGCGATACCATGATCACGGGTAGAAAAAGGCCGGAGACGGACACTATATGAAAGATGGGGAAAAGAAGCGAGACCTGATTGGTCACATATTGAAATAACTAGGCGTATAATACAAGTCAATCACCGTACGATGCTGAATCCTCCCTTCTCTCCAATCCCGAGTGGGTACCCCGATCTATCTATGCGGCTGTACCCGGAGGGGTGGAGGGCTACTGTTATATTCATTGTATGTTCCTTGGACCCAGGACGCCAAGGTCCGAGTTCTTTTCTCGGGCTGAAGGCGGCGGTTACCAGGACGCCAGACGATTAAGTCCACTTCTCGCTACTTAAAAGGCACCTACCCGCTTCATCATATCTCTTGCTTTCTTGGCCCTTTCACTATCCGCGCCGTTATAAAATACTCTGCTCTCCAGTGCCTTCCATGCCATATCTCTAGCGTCCTCTGCTGCGCCCACCGACAAATACAGGTCTGCGAATAGTGAGTAATACTCGCCTCCTTGGATTTGTAGTGATTCATCGTTTAATATTTGGAGTAGACGTTGTGAGAGCTTGCGAATTAAGCTGGGCGTCAAACTGTCTCTATGGTCTCTAATCTCGTCGAGTATAGATCTTATATCAGCCCTGTTCCGATCTGATGTTTGACCGTCAATATCAGACGAGCACAGGCGGCAGGTGCAGTTGAAACCTCGCTGGGAGATCAGGGCTTTTCGATCTCCAGTAGAAAGGCTTTGAGGTATATCTACAATCGTGTAAGCATAAGGGCTCGTAGTAGACTGGAGGGTATTGAGCTTGGTCGCATGATTTAGGTCTCATGGATGTTTTGACTTTACATGGGGGTGATCGAATTCTTGATATAGATGCTTACATGTTATGGTGATTTCCTCCCCTTGTTGAATGGCCCGATGAGCTACCACTTCCATCTGAAGTGTGCTCTGACTATACCTCGTGAAGGTGCTGTTCAAAATTAGCGCAAGCTTGACGCTACTAGTCTGAGATACCTACTTAGGTGTACAGTCGTGGTTAATTCGCTGTGCGAGGTTGGTCAGGACTATCTTCCAAGACACGGCCAAGGCATCTGGAACATACCGCAATGTCCGGGAACAGAGCCGAAAATTTAGTATTGTCTATCTCGATGGTGAAGGAGTTCGTCCTCAAAACGTCTTCGTAGTATTCACCTCCCGTCGTGACAGCCAAGTCATCAATTCGATTCTGCTGCCGCTTCGGTAGACCACGAACCGCTGTCTTGAGAAGAAGAGGATTCAACTGTCGCCGTATTCCTTGTACACCGTCCACAAACCCAAGCAGGACCGGGGTTTCCTTCAGAATCACGTCTCCTTTCCGGATGTGGCTGTTGGCAACCAGCCCTTTTCCCTTTCCCGGAATTTCTTGAACAGATACTCGCCTTTCAAGCTCGGCCGGGCTCGATTGGTATGACGGCGCATGACCCCAAGGCTCCAGTCTTGCTAGAAGTAAGCCTGCAATGAAGCTCGCCACCGCCGGAGGTGAGATAAGGCTTACGCCACTTTCTCCATTCAAGCCCGTGTATGTGTAGACACAGTGCTTGCGCGAGCTACTGTCCTTCACAGCTGGGTAGACACAGTACGGAGGGAGGGTCCACGGGCTGGATAATTGATATCGCTATCGCTCTTATCGTCAACGAGGTGTGGACATGAAGGATAATGGGTCGTTGATTGTTTCTCTAAGCGGCTTGTCGGGTTGGAGGGGCACCATCGCGATCGCGATTCGAGCTCCGATTGCCTTGCTAGTGCAACGGGTGGGAGGCATAATATCAAGCACAAGATCGCATAGTATTGACTGCCAAAATTCAAAAGCCTTGTCATCGTGAAGGCGTCATGTCCTTACCATTCTGGTCGGGCCAGGTTTTAGGTCAAGGGATGGCCGGCAGTCATATTTAAATGTGATGAATAGCCTAGCTGGACAAGTGTACGCGTAACCAAGGACTCTCCCCAGAGTGCGGGCCGAGGGTTCCAATTTTTGGGGACAGTCATTTAGCCGGATGCCACGCAACGTGGGCGCAACCCAGAATAGTCCGTCGCCAAGGCGGGTGAGAATTGGAGCGTAAGATTCGGACGTCTGAGGATTTATTGTAAAACTCTTGGGCTCACTTGGCTCTTGGCAAACGGTAACTCACCTCACCGAAAAATTTGGGAATAATCTGCGAGCAACCTCTCCAGCATAGTATGCCAAGAATAAATCCTCTCATTACCCAAGCAGCTGGTCTGGGCGCGGGGCACGCCGGCTTATACTGAATGGACAAGTCGTCTTCGAAACTAAGAATGAATACGCACCACTTGATTCTACATGTATCGACTCTAGAAGTGGGCGGCCCCTGGCGCCAGCATCGTGCGTATTCTAGATCTAGCAAACTCTGTGCCAGAGAGAAAGTCGTCGCAAATCGTGCGGCTCTGCAAAGGCAGCTCAGCTTCGAACCCGGTACTAGCAGGTGGCAGTTTCAGCTCCATGCAGCAGTCAATCCCCCAGTATAACCGGGCGGCAAGGAATGAATTTTACCATCATCAAATTTATTGTTCGGTCAAAAGTGATAAGGATGGTGTCAATGATGTATAAGCTCGGCTAATGCGATACTATCTCCGTACCCTAGCCAAGAGACGATCGAAGCTACATGTATTGATGAACATTTGCACACATTGAACTCTTTAGCGGCCAAGCTCTTGATCTAGACAGAGGCGTGTTTCGCATGGAGTTTAAAGTCAAATAATCCCCACATGGCATCGTGCTTTATTTCGAGAACCCACTCCGCTTCTACAGTTAAAAGGGGCCGCAGACCGCAAGCCATCTGTTCAAGGTATTCATATTATGTGGACACCCGAGGTGTTTATACCCAAGCGCGGTTAGGTAGTTTCTGATTCCTCACGCGCCGGGGTAATGAAACATCAGTAGCTACCCATATCATCTCCTTCCCGCCAATCTGCACACATTATATAACTAAGCGGCCACTTTGGTCCACCACTTCAACCTGAGATAGGAAGAGAGGCCCCTGTTACGTACCCAGCGCCATGATAACTGACGCCGTTGATGAATAAACGAATGTGGGAGGCTTCGCGAACCTGTTTGGTGTGGCATGGGCTTTCCCCGAACCCGCTGCTCTCGTTTGAACAGGGAGACCTATGGCGAACAATCCCAATATAACAGGATAGTGTCCCGGCCCATTAATCATTATGTAGGTCCGGTTGCCACTCAGTGTGTCTGGTGTTTTATTACGCCCATTCAACGGCGTTCTCCATCTCCATCCCAACTTCACACAACTACGCATGATATCTCTCATCAAGGCCTTCCTAAATTCCGTGGTAAGCGCTGTCCTTTCTCCTTCCACCAACCAGGGAGAGATCTAGAGCTATTTGAGGGCAAGATGGCTTCAACAGTGGTGAAGATCCCAACTGTCTGGCGATCGCTTGACTCTTCCCTTACAACGCATCTCGATGTGCACGGTTTCTAAAGCTGGGTTGGGGCGGGGAATGTCAAACATTGAAGTATTGAAGGATAACCGAGGCATCCTGTCGTTGCACATCGACTGCTGAACTACCTCTCTGTACCAGCTCTACGTTTACGAAGCGCTTGATCCCCGTATTTACTGGTACGCCAGATATCTAGAGGCTGGAAGCACTTAATATGGACTCACGAGCATATTTACGCATCGCATCAGCATCATCAGTTTTGCCCACCCCGAAGGAGAGCTTACGAAAGATACCCTACCGTATTGGGCCCTCCTGTTGGCCATCAGGTCTAATCGGAGAGCCACATTGGGTGCCATCGTTTTGATGGTTTTGATTTTAGATGGCGACGCCTCCCTCAACATTTGAATTCTTTAAAAGTGTGTCCCCGCTGATTCAGAAATCGACCCGCGTCGCGGGTCGCCGCATCCGATCAGGGTGATGAAAGTCAGAATTGATGTGGGGTTCTTGTAAGGTGCAGTTAGATATCACATACATCCATCCATGGATGGATGTATACATTGATGTAGTATGAGACAGCTACGTAAGGCGTGTAGTTTTTGATATTGAAGGATCTCATTCTTCAAAAAACGTTCCGTCAAGAACTGTGGATTTACATGTATTTACTGTGGGTCTGGTTCCGTCTGCGAGGCGTTGCATCTATTGCTCATAGTTTGCTTTTGGAGGCGGAAACATCCAGAATGAATGGGTGTGAGCATTTCAGTGCATCGCTGGTGATGCTGGCGGGTGGATTTCGCGAAACATTGATCTCGTTGGTTGTTCGGTCTTTGTCGACCCCCATCGTAGTACACCCCCTTGCAAACAAAGACAATTATCGTACAATCTACCCAACCGAATCCTTAAGTACATGTAGATTGACGATCCAACAAGACGTTTCCGCGAAATTCCTCCTTGCATTTGCGATGTCTGGAAACCCGCAGAACCCACTCAGCCCGTCGACAAACGCACCCTCCCCGAACTCTATAAATTGGACCAACCTATCGAGCCCGTCATCGACCGTGGCCGCCCCACGAGACCCGCAAATAAACAATCCAGGGCCTGTTGATCTTACATGTACTGATGGAAGCGCGACCAAGGTCATTTGCAGCCCACCCATATTACTCGCCCCTCTCCCAAGATCGATGGAAAGGGGAGCTATTTGGAAAGCAGTGCAGGATGTCCCGAAACCGTCGCAGGCGGTAGGCCTGATGGCCCCTTCACAGGTAAGAAACTAGCAATGCATGCAGTGCGCAATATGATGATGGCTGGAAGTGCTAACTCAGCTCATCTTTCCAGGCCAGCCTTAACACCGTAAAAATGCGAGACCCGCGAAAGGTATTGAACCTGAAGCGGGCCGTGAACGTTGAGGCCCTCTTGATCAACTCGGTGGGCGATAGAGCAAGCTCTGCGTGCACACGTTGCAGTAAACGTTCCGGGCCATTCCAAGAATGTATGACCGTCGCAGGGGTAGCGCACAGCAGCTGTGGCAACTGCCATTATAATGGCGAGGGAAGACACTGCTCATTTCGTCCTAGTAAGTGCTCTCAACAATAATTATGGTGCGATTACAGTTCTAATGGAGTTTACGAATAGCTAAAGTGGGAATTGCCTCCTCGTCTCGTAAACACACTGGGTCTGTAACGGACCCTGCCACTGTACTGAGAAAGAGGGCCAGAAAGAGGGCCATAACGGCTAAGAATGCCACGACCGCATCCAGCAGTAGAATGGGAGGTAGGGCGGCCAGTAAATCGGCGAGCAAAGCGACCGGAAACTTGGGCGGCGGTAGTGTTTCGGGACCTACATGTAGCTTTATAATGCCTGCAGGATGGACGCTGATCCAGCTGGAGGGCGAATGGCCGGAACTGCAATGGCGGGCGGCACCGGATGCAGCTGCAACAAGGCTCTTGGGGGTTCATCGGGCCATCGGGCATCACCCAGGCCGAAAACGAGACGGCCGCAATTTTTGAAGCTTGCAGAGGCTCTTCTAGGCGATGAAGAAGAGGAGGAAGAAGATGAAGTTGACTGAGGGGGTTTCTAACAATTCGAGGGCATTTGGCCATCTATTAAACGTTCTTATCCCCACCAGCCACTTCTGGGCGGGCGTATTTCGTTCGTGATTATGTCAGCAAGCGCCACATTCCCGAGATATTTTGGTTCCTGAGGCGCAAACCATGAGCTCCACGTCCTGTCCCTGAACTGATTCCAGGACGCGATCCCAAGCAAGAAACAAGCTCGGATCCACATTGTTGAATGAACACTGTCGCGCTCTCTGTGGCTGTTTGAAGTTAATACTCTTATTTCTTCGGAATTCCCTCCCCTGGCCCGATAAATTACTCCAGCAGTGGTTACCCGATCGGCCCATGCACCAAATCTCTTCCCTTCATTTTTTGGGCCAATGCCAAACGTCGACGCCCCATCCGGGCTGCACTAAATCTCGAGGCTGAACCCGTCGTCACTCCACAACCAGCTGGCGGCCTCCATTATCCCCTCACTGCCCTCTCCATGGAGCGTCAACCCGGGCTTTTCATAGCAGCTTAGTCGCTCGTAACGGGAGCGCGCTTCGAGTCTCAATACCTACGCTCCGCCCCCAAGTAGTCTCGCCAGGGCAGCCTGCGACCCGTTCCGACACAAACCTGGCCTCGAGCCGACTCGTACGACCCGAGAAGGATGTTGTCCCACCTCCGCTTCCATAGGAGGGGCTCCTCGAACCCGACCTCTCCCATACCGGAACAACAGCCCTCTCGCGAGTTCTCACCCCTTAGCACACATCCCCATGAGTCAACCCTGAGCCCCGAGCTGCGACCCCCTTCCCCACCGTCTTCATCACTGCCACCAACCCTTCCTCCAATCGCCCGAGTGTCCTCGAGCGACACCACCCTCGATCTCCCAGACTTCTCCTCCAGCAGCCATCCCGGTGTTTATACCCGGGAACAGTCAAAGGAATCGCTTCCATCCTCTCAGAGCCATGGCACCAATCACCCTCTCTCTCGCGACCCTCCCCGGCCTTTGTCTCTTAGGACGCCGTACGACCAAAATTCTGGCTTTATCGGTGGTGTAGCTCTGCAAAACTACCGTCGAGGGGACCAGCCGCCTCTTCACGCCGACCCCGCCCGCACCCAACCGAACTCGATGAGTTCCTCAACACTCCCCTCCGCATAGATACCCTCCAAACCACTTCTTTCTCCACGGGCACCCCTGGTAGTCTTGCACCTCCCAGGCCGAGCCCTCTACCCCAAGCAACCTCTCCCTCCTTTGTGACGCCAACCGACTTGCGCAATTCTGCGGCAAGCCCTACAGGCAGAGCGCCTTCGGCGGGCGTTAAAACTGGGCAAGACGCCCATCTGCACCCTACAGCCATGGTGCCCTCCGACCTCCGAAAGGCAAGAAAGGCTTACCCTTTCTCAAGAACCCGATGTCTACTCTGCTTATGCGGCGGAAGGCGAATCAAAATGTCCCAGATCTACTACCGCTCCCCTTCAAACTTCTGCGGAGCCGACATACGATCCCCGAATCCGAGGGACTCGGGTGCACGACTTTAGCGCTCCCCGACCAAGAAAACCGGCCCAGCCAAGTCCAGCCAACCTCTCCTCTACAACGACACATGGTAGCCTAAATGAACCAACACCCCCGCCCATCCCCGACAAGAGTCGACTTCGGCGGCCCCGAGGCGAGGCGGCAGATCCCCAAGCACGATGGGCGCCGAACCCCACCGGAAGACGAGCAGTAGTGCCAACTCGACAAATCCCCCTCCATCGCTCCCCAGGATGGCCAGGGCCCCCGAGCCACGGATGGCCTCAATGTACAAGTCAACCAGCCCCTGCAGGCTAAAATCTCCCTCAAAGACAAGCCTCTCCCCCATGTGTCACCCCGCTCGTGCCTCCCAAAGATGATGTTGTCACGGTGGCCTCCCGTCCCTCTTCTCAAATCAGCAAACACACCTCGATGAGCAGTGTCTCGCGTCCCCGGCCGAATCCATCGACCAAGACGAACCGGTCAACCCGACACTTCTCTACCTCCGAAGGGTTTCCCAACGAGATGCTCTCCTCGATCCCCAAGCATATGAAGAGTACGTCGTCGCGCTTCAGTTTCGATATGATCGGGGCCGCCAAGCAAGAGAAGCTCCTCGAAGAGAGACATCGCCAACGAGAACTCGAGAGGCAGACGACGCGCTCCCCAAGCATATCAAACAGCTATCGGGACTCTAGGTTCGACGATATGGACGATTTCGACTACGACGCAATGATGGATGACGACGGACTTGAAGAAGCCATACCGGGAGTGAATACAGATTATTACGAAGAGCCCATTCCGGGAATGGAGTCCGATTATGATGAAGAATATATACCCGAGGCGGGTTTAGATGACGATTTTGAGGCAGCCGCCGGTGAGGAGGACGAAGATCAACACGACGGATACGACATGGAAGATGTCGACAATGATCAGGAAAATTTCTCGGGCTTCGTCTTCCAACGATCCAACCCTCAGTCTTCCTCGCCAGCCCGCACAGTGCCGGAATGCTCGCAACGCCAAGGGACGCTGATGGCCGAGTTATCGGTTTTGCCATGTCCAAGGACACCCCGGGTTTAGAACCGAACTTCCCGTCACCCATTCCACCGTCTCTGGTGCAGAGACCGATAATCTCATCGACGGAAGAAGGGACCGGCCTCGGTATCCAATGTCTCGACGTGGTGGAACAATCCGACAACTTGATTCGCCAACCGCATACAGTGGCTATGGAACCGGACAAGCAGCGTGAATCCTTCCTTGCGCCTCCAGCGCGGACTAATGATGATTTATATTTTGACGACGGAATCTCGGGCTTCGATAATGAGTTTGCGGACGAGTTAAATTTTGGCACTGGCAACGATGAGCCTTTCAATGAGGCACTCTTCGATCTGGACGACACGGATCAGTATGGCCGCCCTATACCAGGCGCATTTCGGATGGCAAAGGAGGCTCATGATGCGGCAGCCCGCCACCGCACCCAAGAGGACAGCGACGTGGTGAGTGGGCGCATTGCCCAACCCACCCTGTCCCAGTCAACGACGCGAACATCTACCAGCGCTGGGGGCTTCCAACATCCCGTATCCAAGGTGACAAGCGAGGAGATTTCACCGCAACACAACTTTACGACATTCGCGCAACCTTTGCCAGTTGCCGAGCAGGAAAACGTCGTTGCGTACCAAGCGGCCTTGGCCGCCGCTGCTTACCAGGCCGCCGCAGCAGGCAAATTCCGGCGGGAATCCCCACCCACATCGCCCGCCATTTCCGCCTCCGCGGGCGGTCCGTCCCCCACTAACGACTATGACGACTATGACGAGTCGCCGCACATCGATTTTGACGATTATGAACGTGACGACCTTGATGATTTTAACTTAGACGACGACGATATTATTGCAGAGGCCAATGCGAGCGCGCTTGCCAACGATTCCGATGGCTGGTATGGACAGGAATTCGGATTCTACTCGGCCCCTGCCTCGCAGCAGAACCCGACAACCGGGTTTCAGTACGCCAATGGAGGGTATTTTGGGCCCTCGGGTGGTCCGCACGGCATCAATGGGAGGATGGTGTCGCGAGAGCCAAACCTGACGCCCATTACAGAACGTTCGGAGTACTCTAACAGGAACTCGATAATGAGCCTCGGGGTCCCCCCATCGGTTCCGGTGTATCCACTAGCCTTCAGAGCCCCGGGCTCGCCCAGCTCGCCATGATGGCGGATGCCGCCGACGATAGCAATATGACGCTATCAGCACTCTTGAAGCTTCGGTCAAGGGCGTGGGGAGGATCCCAAGCGAGTTTGGTGTCGAGCCGCGACGGATCTCCTCGTTCCGAACGTGGCGATGGCACAAGCTCACCCATGGTCGGACCCCATCTCGGGATTGGAGGCTTCCACGGAAGAAAGAACTCGTCGTTCTCGGTACTCAGTAGGGAGTCGGAAAACTACAGCTCTCCAGGCAGCCCTACCCTAACGATGTCCCTGCCGGCCGTTTTGTCACCCCGGCCTTCAGCGATGCAATCAACGCAGACCGCGATGTTTATCCCCAGTCCTGGCTACGCTCTTTCCCCTCTCCAGGACCTGCCTTTTCTCCGCGCCCGGGGCAGCCCCTCTCATGCCGGGGCAGCCCTCGTCAATGTGCGACGACAATGCGCAAGCCGCGATACGCGATCAGCTACCATCTGACGAGCTACAAGAGTCCGAACCCGCTCCTCCAGCCTCGAATAGAATTTCCAGTCACAACGGTCATCGTCACAAGGGCTCGGCAGGTAGCATTTCATATATAAAAGAAGAGGAGAGCGGAGAAACGAGGTGGATCATGGAGCGGAGAAGACTCGATGAGAGCGGAGAAGTCGAGATTCTAGAGCGAGAGGTTTTGGAAGGCGGACGGATATAAAATTTTCAATCCTTGTGTTTTCGTGAGCGACATAGGCAATGAAGCAGATCGCAAACGGCAGCCGATGCAGCTTCGGGTGGAGTGGGTGCGGTGCGGCTTGGTTGATTTAAAGGAGCTCCGGCAGCTCATGTTTTGATATTGGGGGTCTCGAATCGGGTACTGGGCAACTAGACTACATTATGCATACAATGGAATGAATGGATTAATTGTACATAACAGGCGGGATCTCGGCGTTTGTTGCCTCGCGCAGATGGCTAGTGGCTCCAATGATCCAGTCAAATTCATCAATGATTCAGTGTGTGGTGGGATGTGCTCGGTTTTGATTGATTGCCTCGGGCATCAATTGATTAATGACTTCATTGGCCAATCCGATCCCGTCCATTGAACCTCTCCAATCTCCATCCCCGACAACCTCATCGAAAGCCACCCCCACCCGCCATTCTCGCTCGGCCTGGTCGTGTCTGACTGGGCCGATGTCTGCAGGTTTTTTTGTTCGCCATTGAACGCTCTGGTCAAAGAATGGCGTCGCGATTACTGTTAGTGCGGACCTCCGCTTGGTCGAGTCCATGGCGAAACCACGCGATCGTCGGCTTTCTACCGTTCAGCTCCTCGAGCGTACCTCGCGCTATCAAACCCGATAACGAACATATTAGCGAACGAGGCCACCCGACTACACAAGCAACACGCGACGAGGCTTCGGCTCCCGAAAAGGAACAGGGCGCGCTTTCCCGACGGCTTGAGCAGGCGACGGAAGACGCACTCACAAGCGGCGGGAGGTCGGGCTGGCGTGCCATCGAAGAGGCGGGGTTCTCGGAAGAGCTCAAGGCGAAATTATACGAAAAGGTGGCAACGGCAACGATTGGTTCGGCCGAGGACCTCGTCGGAGGCCGTGTCGGGCCGGGAGCTGGTGCCGGAACGCGAGCACACGCCGAAGCTGCACCGTGGACGGGCGAGGAGTCGCACGAGGACGCGGCGTTGCGCATGCTAGATGATTCCAAGAGGAAGCTCCCTCCTACCCTTCGAGGGCGACCGGCCATCCCGCCACCGACCCTGAGCCGTGCTTCGACTAGGGCCGGCGGCGTCAAGCGAGCTGCTGGAGCCAGGAGCTTGCCAAGACCTACCGCGTGGAGGGGAAAGGGTTGACGGAAGAGGAGAGGGAAGATTTCTTAAAGGAGCTCAGAGAGCGCTTCCAGCCCGGAGCGCGGGCTCTACCAAATACCATCTCTGGACTGACGTCCTTGGCAAACCAGAGGTACACTAGACAAAGGTTCTCGGCTCGAATACCGACTCGTGCTAACGATTTCACATATCAGAATTGAAGAGGCGATGGCCAGGGGCCAATTCAAGGTACGCGTTCGCTAATCCAACAATCGTATCCCGCCGCTTCCGCAAATGTCTAACTATCCTATAGGACATTCCCCGTGGGCCCGGAATTGAGCGAGATGCACGAGCCGACAATCCCTTCATCGATACTGTATAGTACCCTCCTTTCCGAACCCTTCCTCTCTCGAAGATATCATCCACCCCCTCGGGAATGGCACTTGTGACAATCTAACGCGCGGGGTGCATAGACTGAATACCTCATGAACAAAATGATCAAGCGGCAGGAACTCGTCCCGCCTTGGATCGATAAGCAACAGGAGCTCGCCAAAGCGGTGGCAGCCTTCCGTGCAAGGATCCGCAGCGATTGAAAAGGCACGCCGCGCGAGCCATCAGCAGCCGGGGCGGTTCTCTTGAGGAGAAAATACGCGCTGCAGAGGCGTATGCGCGCGCGGAGACGGCAAGGAACGCGACGGCCACGGCCACGACCACGACAACAGCACAAACTAGCGACGCGCTACCGAGCTCTGCCGATGCAGGGCCCGTCTTTCGAGATCCGGCCTGGGAGGGGGCAGAGAGGTCCTACCTCGAACTCTCCGTCGAGAAGCTAAACTCGCTAGCGAGATCGTACAACCTCATGGCGCCGGAACTCGCCAAGAAACCCTACTTTTCTCTCACCAGGGAGCTGGAGTCCTGCTACGCCGAGGTGGCGCCCTCGTGGCCCAGGAGATCCGAAACCGGGCGGTCTCCCAGCCGGCTCCCTCCTTTTCGGGGGCTTTGGCGAAAGGGGCGGCGTTGGTAGCGGGAAGCCGGAAGCGCTACGATCTACGAGAAGCGAGGCGACGGGTACGGCTTCAAGGAGATGTGGAGGGACATCTGGAGCAAGCGCAAATCTTGATCATGTTGAAATATCCACAATCACCACCCTCTCGGAGATACGACTAATGATCCTCAATTGGACCGGCGCATAGAGAAGCCTTCGAGGATATGCAAACGTCCCTTTCCCAACAAATAAAGCTCTGGCACATGGATCCAGACAGAAGATTGTTTCTGAAAGTGGATGCAAGCGGAATCGCCTTCGGAGTTTTCGCATTTCAGCTCCACAGTGAACACTGGGATGGCGAGTCGATACATGGCAAAGATATCCCAGCAAAGGACATTCGACCAATATGCTTCTTGTCGAGAATGAGATCTCACGTGGAGAAAAGATATGGATCGACCGAAGCGGAGATTGCAGGAGCAGTCTGGGCAGTAAGGAAACGAGAGAAGATGGTGCGATCGAATAAGTTAGCGACTGTCATCATCACGGATCACGCCGCAACCAAAGGGATCGTTTGGCTAAAGCCCAACGCAGAGGCAGTATGCGGGGAGTGGAAATACGCCTGGCGTTCCTCTATCCACGCCCTTCAGACTACGTCTACAATACCGACAGCTCGAAATGGGTGTGGATTGATCAAATGTGACCGTTATTGCTACAGGATATCTGTAAGAAAACGTTCAGAAAATGATGGTATCTCTGTTACGACTAAAGTCGTGCCGCTTACTTACGGTCAGCCGAGCTGGCAGTAAGTAAGTCGGTAGGTGAGACAGCGCTATCTGTCTCTTCGGGGTGATCGCTGTTGACTTGTTTCCTCACATACAAGAACTATTGTTACGACCAAAGGTCGTGCCAACTAGCTTGCTGACAGCTTGGCTGTCAGCAAGCAATTGGAGAAATGCGGTGATCTCTGAGTCGCTGCGAGGGTTACCAATCCTCAAGTGTCGCTAGGTATTACTTACTTACAGGATACCACTATTACAACTTTGCTGGCGTCGCCAGCTGTCGTCAGTGAACCGGGGGTCACTGTAGGTGGAATGCTTCTCAGCCTGTCTGCGTGCCAATATCGTCGGCTGGTTACCGGTGGTTCCCAGTCGCTGTAGTCGGTCACCGTTGGTTCCCGTGGCTACCAGATGATTGACCTGCAGACTATCTAATTGACTAATTCCTTAGGTTGGTTGACGAACAGGAGTGCTTGCTGATTACAAGCAGTCGGTGTTCACCTCAGATCACGTATAGCGTGTTCACTATGGTATGATAATTAAGGTTGTAAAGTTCGTGTCTTCTCTAACTCCTATATCTATCTATCTACTGTCTTTTTATATCTGCTTGCTGGTGCACATGCTAGCTGCTTGAGTCGCCAGTTGGTTGTCTGCGCTGGCTGGCTTCCCTTGCTTGCTTGCATGCTCACGGTGTTGACAGGTGTTAGGACTTTTCTATGCAACAACAAGAGTCACGATGGAAGCTATGGTATCAGATGTAAGGTAGTAAAAGGGTTGTTCTTGTCTCTAGCTAGTAAGGGTTTCCTTTTATCACTATCTAAGTGGGATAGCTCACTATCAAGGTTGATTGGAATAGGCGGCTTGTCGGGGTTGTTGTCCTCTTACACTATCAGCCAGTTAGCAACAATTGCCCACTTCGACTAGCCTGTGGGAGATATAAAAGGATAGAAATCCCTAGATAGAAAAGACAACAACTTACCTCCCTTGCTCCATCGTGACATGTATGGGTGTTATGCCAACAGAGGCTACGACAAAGTCGCACCTCTTGCTTACAGGCAGCCGAGCTATCAGCAAGCAAGTCGGTTGGTAAGGCAGCGCTACATGCATCTACCTTATCGTGGTGATTGGTGGTTTGACTTAATTCTTCACGGAAAGATGGGAAGCATCCTCTTCGCCACAGTGAAATGTATACCTAGATTATATAAAAAGTATCTCACGTCTCCTTCTCAGACGGGCATAAAAGGGCCCTCTGTTGGCATCAATCTAGAACCCCTCCTAGAAACTCCAGTCATCGGTTCAGCGTGGGAGACGCACACACTCCCCCACCATTGGGTGGTGCTCCAAGGTCGAAGAGTTACGACACGCAGACACAGAAATGAGGAGTGGGGAGTTCGTGTACGAATAACGGTAGACCCCCGATGCTTGGAAGGGTGTCTTCTTGACTCGAAAATGCGGTGTTGGAGAAACACAGGATATCCCCGCGGCTGACGTCGAGAGACAATACAAAAGAAGAGTGAGGCAGAGGAAGCAGAAGATGGAGGATATGACTAGCACCCTCGATACACCCAACTGAGGGCCCTTCCTCTACAGGAGCTTCAGGATCGTCGATCGCCATCCTTACCCCGAGCGGAGTAGAGAACCCTTTTTCGCTCAGGCGAGGCAACGTGTGCGCGATCATCCTTCTGAGCATACGGCGATCATGAATCGAGAAGATTTGAAGGCCGATCCTCGGCTGTTCGTCAAGCATTGAAGAATAGAGCTCATGTCACCGGAGCAGCAAATCGGCAATGATTGATGATGCATCCATTCCTACGACTGGTGAGAAATGACCTTGCTTTGCTCCCACCCCCGCAACCCCGCCATATTGCAACAGCCCAGAGAACCTATGGAGTCTCCACGATGATCCCGATTCCCCGCTTAGATATTCCATCATGTAGAACTCGTAGGGCATCTCGGCGACCAGTGAACCACCTATAGTAAGGGCTCTAGGCGCGCCCAGGAATCCTATCGGAGGAGATAGACCGCGCGCAAGGAAGCTTAAGCAAGGTTTGGCCCAGACAAAAGGCCCTTGTTAAGATGTGGAGAGAGATATGATCGGTCATGCAGGAACACACTTAGTTGAAGAAGGCATCGTGGACTTTCCATGACAGACACCCCGAAGGAACGGCACCTTCGAGGTGGTGGCGGCCCATGATGGATTGGAGTCAGGCTGGAAAAAGCCGTAGAAACCCCGTGTTCTGGTGCATCACCTCGTAAGTGTACAGTTACATGGCCTCTGGCCGACGATCACAATCAAAAACAAGAGATCCTCTGGTCCCGGCAGTGTGTTCATGTTCCTGCAAGAACCCGGTTCGTATGGGCCGCCCCGGTTTCCAAGGAAAAACAGCCCAGGCATGGATTGGCTGAGAAGAAAATATCGCCTTTGTTCCTTGCGCGATTCAATCCATTCCAGGCAGGATTGTGTGCAGCGCAAAAGAAGGCTCGAGCGAGCGATGATCAAGGGGAGTTGACCGCCAAGGAATCCAACAGTTATCAAGCATTCCTTCCATGCAGTTGCAAAGCTCGAGTGGAGACAAGCGAAGCATTTTACCTCGTACATGACAGTATTGGGAGCAGATGGCTGACCACGTCAATGTCGGCAAGGAAAATGGCGCCAACACTGAGTGCTTCATCACTCCACCCTCCCCCACAAGGCCAACTTGGGCCTCGTTGACGTGCCAGGATTATCCTCGTCCAAGATATGAGACGATAGCCGCGTCGTCAACGCTGATTCGTGAATTTCGCTTCCTTCCAAGGGAGGACACAGAGCACCCTAGCACGAGGCGTTTCGAATGCATGCGAAAGCATAAATGACAAAAGCCCTGCCAAGCTGGCCAAACCCTCCCCCAGCGACTTTTTGAATTCTTTACCTGTGCCGTTCGACTCTGCCTCATATCAGTTGCTCATAGCAGTAATTTTTTGATCAGAGACCTGCCGACCGGTTTTTGGTCTTCCTTCAAATTTTCTTCCATTTTTATTTTCCCACTTCCCTATACATCCCGACCATTCCCCAGGCATGGATGTACCCTATTGAGGGATGTCGTGAGGGCCCAACCCATTTTAATCGATCTCGGCTAGAGCACCTCGTTGGGGTGTGTATGGTATGCCTCGAAGGACTGAAATCCGGTTCTAGCCTAGAGGCATGAAGAACTATTAAAGCTAGTCCAGTGTGGGCTTAGAACCTACCTTTGGAGAGGGAGGCAGTCCGTATTCGATGATATAGAGTGCTCGAGCGTTTCTGGGTTCTGACAGTCTCGGGAAGTCCGTGATCCTTGCCTGGCAAAAATAGTCGAGCAGGGGATGAGACCTGCCTGGCCCCACGAGAATGACACGTTGATCATCGACCAGGCTCAAAAGACACTGACAGATGTATCGATTGGCGTGATATTTCAGGTCGATTTGTGAGAGAGGGGGCGGAGGGAAGAAAACCATGCACGGACAGAATGGAGGCCCTCGATCCGATGTCAGGTCGGGTTTCACGTCGCTGGCTGTGAAACTAGTTGGAGGAAGCGTCATGGCGTTCAATGTTGGCTAGGTTGGGACTACTCGGAGGATTCAAAGGCTTCGAAATTATGAATTGCCATTCGGCCCATGTCCAGAAAACAGCACACGCCAGCTACAGGCGTGCTAGGCATCTAATGTTTTGCGAGGAGGAAGAATACCTTCCATTCAACTTTCGAACCGGCTGATCCGCTCATCAATGTATCGAAGGTTGGAAGCTTCGTTGGTTTAGTGGCCCGATAACAAGCCCCTCTTTCCCCTTCAGGTGTCAATTGACGCAATGATCAATTGATCGAGGTGGGGCAGCCCAAGAAGGAATGATCGAACAACGCTAAGTAAAATGACAGCAGTCGATGGGGATCCGCCAACCTGGCAAGCTGGTTTAAGACTGAGCCTTTGACGCCACCTCAACTTGGGAAGTCTTCGACGTTGGCGCCCTCAAAGTTCGATCAAAGTCATGGATCGTCGTTGATGTATCATCATCTGGGGAATTGGTGAATGTAGACGCCTTGAATGACAATGGGATCCCTATCGCGGCCTGTTGCAAAATAATGACATTGCTGTCAAGGGCCACTCCAAGACAAGCGCTCCGCTTTGATCCGTCAAGTCTCCCCAAGGCAGGTTGTCATCAATGACTAGACTGGCCGTGCTGCCCATGGATTCGCAACAATGCGTGCGCCTTCCTTGCATTTTGTTTCCACTCTTTCCTTCCCAACAGGTATCATTCTTTCGTGCGCTCTTTCCTTCAATGTTATTCACCAAATGCGCTTCCCCTCTGGCCAGGAAAGTATTACTCGGTGCTTGAGGATGATTTGAAGT